TGCCCTCCCAGAGGCCCTCCGGAAGCTTCCGGACTCTGGGGAAGGGGGGAAAAAACAGCCAAACCGGAAGTCCAGAAACAGGCCTGTTTCTGGCTTCTGGAGGGCCTCCGGACTCTGAGGGAGGCTGTTTTCGCCCTCCCAGAGGTCCTCCAGAAGCCTCTGAACTCTGGGGAAGCCGAAAAACGGCCAAACCAGAAGTTCCAGAAGTCCAGAAACGGACCTGATTCCGGCTTCTGGAGGGCCTCCGGACCCTGAGGGAGGCTGTTTTTACCCTCCCAGAGGTCCTCCGGAAGCATCTGGACCCTGGGGAAGGCGAAAAATAGTCATCCCAGAAGTTCCAGTAAGCCACACCCACCATGGCCATGCCCACCCAGTAACTGGGCAGCGGACCAGTTGCTGGGATTTTTGAATCCCACCCCTGGGCAGCCGAGCACCCCAATACTCGTGTGAGTGGGGCTGCGAGCGCCCGTGACACTCGCGCAAGTGAGGGCCTGTTGCGAATAGGCTGCAGCCCGGCATTGGGCCGCAGCCTATAGGTTGCGGATTAGAAGACTTCCAAGGTCCCTTCCAACTCTGTTATCCTGTTATTCTTTTAATAATGGCTTCATTCAGTGACTGAAGATCCTGATCTCAGCTGTGGTCATAAGTCGAGGACTACCAGTACTTAAGTGGATTGAGCATTTCCGCACACGTGGGTGTATACAGAACTGTGAAAAGGTTCTAGGCAGTTATGCAAAAGTGCTGTAAATTAAAAACACTTTCAGAAATAGAAGTGTTAATAGTTTATTTGTGTCACTTAACAAAAAGGAAAGAAAATGAACAGAAGAGAAATCCAGATCAAGCCAATATTTGGTGTGATCACCCATTGTCTTCAAAACAACATATTTATATTTATTGTATAAATAAATACAAATATTACACAGAGAGAGATACATAGATAATAGGTAGATAGACAGATAATAGACATAGATGATAGGTAGATAGATGATAGATTGATAGATGGATAGATAGATGATAGATAAATAGACAGACAGATAGTTAGATGATAGACAGACAGATGGATAGACAGACAGATAGATAGATGGATAGATGATAGGTAAATAGATAGACAGATAATGTGATGACCCAGGGTGAGATACAAAATAAACACAGTCACAAATAAACAGCTGAAGCCCCTTTTATTCCTTCACTTTGCTTCCAAGCTCCGAATATCTTTGAGTGGAGACAAAAAACTCCCACACAACAGTTACAAGAAGGAGGAAATGCCGTTTAAATTATAAAGAGTAAAAAAAACAACACAAGCCAGGCAAGAAAAGGGCTGGAAAACGTCCACAGATATCAGAACACACACTGGGAAGGACACCAAACTCAAAGAGGAACAATAAACTAGAGATATTTCCACGCTTTGTTTCCAGCACTCGCCCGTACGCATGTCCGTCCTCTTATCCAGTTACAGCTGCAGCCCATGAAGAGGATCAAGGCCCTCTCCTCCCCAGTAGACCACATCTCTCCCTTATCTTCTCCTCCCTGCATGCCCTAGGATGAAGAGGGGATGGGCCTGGGTCCTCCTCTGCCCAGCCGACCTCTGCCCTTCCCCGGCCTCCTCCACAACCTCCGGAGCCACACTTCCATTCCCTGTTGGCTGTTCCTCCTCTCCCTCAGAGTCAGACTCCACCAGGAGCATGACACTAGATAGATAGATAGATAGATAGATAGATAGATAGATAGATAGATAGATAGATAGATAGATAAATCTGCGATGAAGGTGATTGTCGGAGGAGCGAGACCGCGTGGTAGACCTAAGCAACGCTGGATGGACACGATCAAGGCCGATCTAGAGATCGCGAAGGCAGACCCGACATACGTGGCAGACAGAGAGGCGTGGAAGCAGTACTCAAGGACATTAGCGGACCTCGCCAGAGCGCGAGACAAACGCTGAAGAAAAAGAAGAAGATAGATAGATAGATAGATAGATAGATAGATAGATAGATAGATAGATAAGATAGATAGATGATAGATAGATAGAGTGAGAGAGAGAGTGAGAGAGAGAGATGATAAGATAGATGATAGAGATAGGTAGATGATGGATAGAGAGAGAGAGAGAGATAATAGATAATAGAGAGATAGAATGATAAATAGATATATATTGTAAATAATATATATAAGGCTATATAAAGCTCTTAACACTCAACAGCATATAAATCCAAGAAATAAAATAAGCTGACAACTTCTTTGTCTCCTTCCTCTGCTTGGCCCTGCAGGATCTCTCAGGCAGGTGGAACCGCGGAGAGGGCCCCCTCTCCCCCTTTATCCAGAAGAGGGCAGCTCGGATGACGAAGGCCTGCTGGACCTGGTCTACGCCACCAACCTCGAGCTCCACAGCCGGCGGCCTCCCCGTCGAACCCGCCTCATCCGGATGCGCACCCACGAGCTCCAGGTGTCCGACGAGGAATGCCTGACCCGCTTCCGGCTGGACCGCCAGGCCATCCAGGACCTGTGCACTCTCTTGGCCCCCTACCTGGATGGGGCATCTGCGAGTCGCCGGCACATCCCGACGTTGCAGAAAGTCCTGATAGCCTTGCAGGTTCTCGGCACGGGCTCCTTCCAGCGGATGACAGGAGATAACCTGCGGGTGTCCCAGTCTTCCGTCAGCCGCTGCTTGGATGCCTTCCTGGAGGCCATGTTGCGCCACGTCCACGAGCACATCACCTTTCCCACCACTGACTCGGAGCTGCGACGGACCAGGGAGGCCTTCTTTGACATCGCAGGGTTCCCCAACGTCATTGGGATTGTGGACTGCACCCACGTGCCTATCATCGCCCCCGCAGACATGCCGGCGCTGTACCGGAATTGCCACAACTTCCACAGCCTGAACGTGCAGGCCACTTGCGACGCCTCGGGTTGCTTCACTCACGTCTTGGCCAAGTTCCCCGGAAGCGTCCACGACGCCCGCATCTTCCAACTCTCCCAATTGCAAAGGCTGCTGGAGTCGTGGCCGGAAGGGAAGGGGTGGCTTCTGGGTAAGCACCTCCTGGGGTGGGGTTGAGCTGTCCATTTTTGAAGCAGGGACGGTTAGGACGTGGGAAGGGAAGGGGGAATTCTCAGAGTAGGGGTAGTCCTCAACTGACGGTCATAATGGAATCCAACATCAGACATGATATTCTTCCGATTAAAATCGGAATTCCGATTTTTTTGGGAATCGCCCCCCCCTTTCCCCCCCTTCTTCTCCTCCTTCCCCTCCCCTCGGAGGCCCCGAGTCAGGAGTTGCTACCGCTGGCGCGGCTCTGCGTGGCTCCAGTCCCGCGTTGCCTCAGGAAGGGAAAGGCAAAAAGGAAGAGCCGCGGCGGCGCTTTGCAACGGCAGCAGCGGCTCCTGGTTTTGCCTTTCCCTTCCCGAGGCAACGTGGGACTGGAGCAGCGCCGGCGGTAGCAACTCCTGACAGCCCCAGCCGGATACCTGAGCGGAGCGAGCGGAGCCCGGGCAGGCAGGCAGTGTGAGCGGAGGCCGGTGAGCGGCAGGAAAAGGGAGCTGGGCAGCGATTTCTTGGGGGGGGTCTCTTTTGGCCGGCCCCGATTTTTTTTTCAGAGGGGAATATCATGCCTGAACATTTTTCTTGCTAAGTAGACAGTTGTTCTTTTTCCCCTGTTTTACGATCTGTCTTGCCACAGTAGTTAAAGAAGTCGCTGCCGTTGTTAGGAGTAAACGTGGCTGTTACGCGAATTTAACTTGACTTCGCTTTGTCAGAAGGCGGCAAAAGGGGATCCTGTGATTCCAGGACTCTGTAACCATTCTAAATAAAAAAAGAGGCCGAGACTTTGGCAAAAGGGCAAAGAAGGACAACTAAGATGATTAAAGGCCTAGACTACAGGGGTCCTCAAACTACGGCCCGTCAAACCATTAATCCGGACCATGAGGCTGCCCTGCCCTCATTGCGCCACTTACCCACCAGCCCCCACCCTGCTGGAGGCTGAGGTGGTCAAAAATGGGAAGCACGGAGGCCAAAAACAGGCCCATTTTTGGCCTCCAGAGAGAGAGGGAGGGAGGGGGAGAGTGGGAGAGAGAAAGACACACACACACACACACACACACACACACACACACACACACTGTCAGGATTCCGGCCCTTAATTCCCCATTTAAATCATGAGTCTCGAGCCAAACTTCCAAAACTTCAAAAGGATTTATTGGGAGTAAACATGTCCGGCACTGGCCTGGGTGTAGCCAACTCTGAGACACATCCTTCGTTGTCACCCTTGACCCTGGTTTTTTCCCCCACCCCCTGGGTGTATTCATATTCTCCAATGGGACATATCCATAGCCCAATATTTCTATGGTCTTTTTAGAGTTGCCACACACACACACACATACACACACAAAAAGCAGCCACATCCCTTCACTAACCTGCTTTCCACCCCCAGGAGCATAACAAATTAAAGTTTAATTTGTGTGTTTTGTTTAATGCTAAATTGCCCACGCCCACCCAGTCACATGATCACCTAACCACGCCTACCCAGTCACATGACCACCTAGCCACACCCACTAGCCCGTCCAACACCCTTAAAAGTCTGAGGGACAGGAAATTGAAGGAATTGAAGGAAATTGAAGGACAGGAAAGTTTGAGGACCCCTGGCCTAGAGAGTAAAATATATGAAGAACAGTTGCAGGTATTCGGGTTTGGCTAGTCTAGAGAAAAGAATTAGGGGTGACATGATAGTAGTATTCCAGTATTTGGGGGGCTGCCACAAAGAATAGGGGGTCAAATTATTCGCCAAAGCCCCAGAAGGCAAGACAAGAAATTCATCAAGGATGGAAACTTATCAAGGAGAGAAGCAACCTGCAATTAAGGAGAAACTTCCTCACGGTGAGGGTAATGAAACCAGGGCAACAGCTTTCCTTTAGGGTGCTTCATCACTGGAGGTTCTTAAGAAGAGACTGGACAACCTGTGACGACCCGGGGCGTGACGCAAAAATAACAAAGTCACAAAAGTAGAATAAATCCCCTTTAATGCCTCCAACTTGGCCCCGATGTCCAATTATTCTCGGCTGGATATCAAACTCTTCCAAAAAAAAAAGAAACAGCCTATGGAGGAAGTAAATGCAGTCCGAACCCAAAGTAAAGATAATTATAAATAAAAAAACAACCAACACAAACCACACTGAAGTAATTAACACGGCAGGCCAGGGTGATAAATTGCAGACTTCTACCAAGCACAGTTGGGAGGAAGCTAAAACCCAGACAAGCTTCGACAAGAATAATGCATGCTTTGCTTCCAACAACTTTGCTTCCTTTTAAACAGTCCTCCCAGCAGCAGCCCATGAAGGGGATCAGGGCCCTTTCCTCCCCCATAGACCACGCCACTCACGTTTCTCCCTTATCTGCTCCTCCCTGCCTGCCCTAGGATGAAGAGGGGATGGCCTTGGGTCTCTGAATGCCCAGCCAGCCTGTGCCCTTCCCCAGTTTCTTCCACAACCTCTGGAGCCACACTCCCACTCCCTGTCAGCTGTTCCATCTCTCCCTCGGAATCAGGCTCCAACAGGGGCATGACACAACCATTGGTCTGAAATAATATAGGGTCTCCTGCTTGGACACGGGGCTGAACTAGAAGACCTCCAAGATCCCTTCTGGCTCTATTCTGATTGGATAAATATGAGCCAGTTGCCAAGTGTCTGAATTTTTATCATCATGATCCTGGGGGATGCTGCAGTGGCCATAAGTGTGGGGAAACTATCCTAAGTACCTTTTTTTGAGTGCCGTTGATAACTCTGAACGGCCACTAAACGAACCATTATAAGTCGAGGGCTACCTGTACCCCTTGTATGCTGACACTTGCTTCCTCTCTTCCTCAGGCGACTCGGGGTATCCTTTGCGGCCTTTCCTCATGACCCCGCACCCTGACGACGGCCCTGAGCCCGTGGCGCGCTACAACGCAACCCACAAGACGACGCGGATGGTGGTGGAGACGGCCTTCGGGCAGCTCAAGATGAGGTTCCGCTGCCTTCACTCCACAGGGGGGCGCTTGATGCTCCGCCCGGAGAAAGTGGCGAAGGTTTTTGTCGTCTGCGCCATGCTTCACAACATGGCCTTGAGGCGCCAGCTGCCCATCATCAATGGAGGACAAGGGGTGGACACTGAGGTCCCTGTGCCTCCATACCTGGAGACCGACACCATGGTCGAACAAGATCCTCAGGGAGTAGAAGTCCGGGATCAGATCATTAGCACTTATTTCTCACAATAAATGAGCTTTGAATAGACGACGCGCAGTCGGCGTGTCTGTTCTTCCCTGTGTGTGTGTGGGGGGGGGGCTTCTGAGAGGAGACAAAGGGTTGTGTGATCGCACAACTGCCTCCCCTGACCTGGAAGATCTATAGCAGGAGTCGCCAACCTTTTGGACCTCAGGGACCACCAAACTCATAATTTTAAATCCCGCGGACTAGAGACCCTGGGAAAATCCCCCAAAAAGTCTGCAGGAAAATTTCCCACCCCATTTTCCTACCGATCGATCATTCTTTATTTGGGATCGCAGGATACCATCTCCAGGTCTGTTCTCTGGGTGGGAGAGAGAGAGACTTTTGGCTTCATGCAAGGAAAACAGCAGAAGGAACAGAAGTCTGTCTTTCCCCCAAACCACCATAAATGACTTGTCGCGCTGGTGCAGCCTCTTGGAGCAGGATGCCTTGCAGGATCCTAAACACTCGTTTCTGGCAGGGTTTGGGGGAGAGAAAGAAAGATTTTTGCTGCTTTCCTTGCGTGCAACCAAAAGCAGAAAAAGAAAGAAGCAGTCCAGTGGCCACTCACATGGGGCAAATCCCCTCACTCCGCCCTTTCCCCCCTCCCCTCACTACCTCGTGTTCGCGACGCCTTGTGTTCCCGTGGGCCATGTGCCGTGACGCAGCCTTGTGTTCCCACGCAGCCTGGATTAATCGCTTTGGGATCTGCAGGGGCCACCAGTGGTCCCCGGCTCACTGGTTGGCAACCACTGTTCTAAAGCAGGGGTGTCAAACAGGTAGCCCACAGGCCAGATGCTTCACACGCAGGCCATGCTCACCCCGGCTCTGCAAAAAGGCAAAAAACTGTTGCGATATGTCACATAATGTCATGTGTTGTTGCGTAGCATCATCATCATCATCTTAATGACACCATAATCCCTTGCGGGGTGGAGTCTGGGCAATCAAATGGAGTTGAGGGTATACTGGCAGGATGCCCTTCCTGTCACCAATATGGAGTTATATTCGGCAGATATATTCTTATTGTGCCCAAAGAGAGAAATATCTACCTATGACACTGGTGGCTAACCTTTTTGGGCTCTTGTGCCAAAAATTGAGTGCGCATGAGTGCACGCGCATGAGCGTTCCAGCACCCAGAATGCAATGTCCCCTGCGCATGCACATGCAATGCCCCCCGCCACCCCCTTACTTACACTGCGCCTCACAACTGATTTTTCGGCTGGTTTGAGGCCTTTTTCGGCCTCCCAGAGGCTGAATAATACGCCCGTTTCGTCACTTCCGTTTTTACAGGAAGTGGCAAAATGGGCCTATTCATCCTGAAAAGCCTAGCAGAGGCTTTTTCCAAGCCTCTGGGAGGCTGAAAAAGGCCTGAAATCAGCTGTGAGGCATGCACAGTGAGGTAAATTTGCCTACAGCTCGCGTGCCGGCACAAATAACTGCAATGCCACTTGTGGCACGCATGCCATAGGTTCGCCATCACGGACCTAGGATCAAACTCACAGCCTCCTGAGTGTGAGGCGAGAGCTCCACCTCTAGCCCACAGCATCACTTTAAAGCCGTGATGGCGAACCTATGGCACACAGGCCAGAGGTGGCACACAGAGCCCTCTCACTGGACATGTGAGCTGTCGCCCCAGCTCAGCTCTGCCGCGCATGCGCCAGCCAGCTGGTTTCACGTCTCTAACGTCCATGCGGGGGGGGGCATGCAGAGGATGTATGCGTGAGGGACACGTGCACAGGAAGGTGGGGTATGTGCGCAGGGGTGGGGAATGCCACACGCATGCGCAAGGATGCCCGTGCAGTGCATTTTGGGGATGCGTGCATGCTTTCGGCACTTGGTGCTGAAGAGGTTAGCCATCGCTGCTCTCAAGGCTGCTGCATATGCCCAACACAATTTTTTTTAGGAGGAGGTTAGGGCTGACAGAAGTTGATCTCACAAGCTGGGCATCTCCTCAGGTTTTATGCTACGGAAAAGAGATGCAAAGAACTGGGTTTGGTGCTCTTTTGGATCGCGTGGCACGAAACTCTTAGGAAATAGCAGAAGATAATGGGACGTTGAGCATTCCAGAAGTCGTAATTTACAAATATTCAGTGGAATGTAAGTGTTGAAAGAGTTCTTCAAATCATCTAATTAAAAGAGTTTCACCAACTGGGGGACTGTCAGGTGAGCCGGCTGGGGAATTCTGGGAGTTGAAGTCCACACATCTTAAAAAAGTCCCCAGGTTTGAAAAACTCTTTGTTGTGTTCAATGACAGGAATTAACGCAAACATCATACCATCTACAGGTAATCCTTAACTTACAACAGTTCATTTAGTGACCGAAGTTTGGGGAAAAAAAGGGCACTGAAAGTTACAGCTCTTTTTCACACTTATGACCAATGAAGCCAATGCACTTATGACCAATGCATGCCCACGGTCACATGGTCAAAATTAAGATGCTTGGCAACTGACTCATGATGATTGTGGTGTCCCAAGGTCATGTGATCCCCTTTTGCGACATTCTGACGAGCCAGGTCCATGGGGAAGCCAGATTCCCTTAACAACCGTGTTACTAATTTATGATTCCCTTAACAACAGTGGCAAGAAAGGTCGTAAAATGGGGCAAAACTCACTTAACAAATGTTTCACTCAGCGACCTAAGTCCTGGGGTCAATTATGGTTGTAACTCGAGGACTACTAGTATGTTGTGTTTAGCTGGCAGCAGGTGCGGACAGTTGAGGTAAGCGAGGACTCAGATGAGGGGCCAGGACCATCAGGGAGTGGACTGCTGCCTTCAGAGATTGTGGGGGCTGGCAGCAGCGATGAGGAGGTTCCTGAGGAGCCTGTGCCAACTGCGTGTGCACGCAGGATTGCTCATAGGAAAGAGCAGTTACAGCAGCACGGGTGACTCCGCAGTAAGGCTGCAAGGTAATGGCCCGAAGCAAAGACGTTTTGAAACTTAGCCTCGTGGACATTACAGTATCTTAAGTTGGTATTTGAAGATTCTTGTGTTGTGAAATATTTTATCTGTTATTCTTGGCAGACTAACACCGTTTTGGCAAAGCTCGTGCTTATCAAAGTTAATTAGTTTACTTTTAACCAGGAATTCGTAAGAATCATTAAAAGGTTTCTGTTCTCTTTGGTTCGTGTTTGTTTTATTGGAAAAGGGTTTGGGTCAGAACATAATATTTCCATCTGGGACCCATCATCCACAACTGAAATTTTTTTTTACACCTATCATAGTGCTACTGGTTGTGCCAGATGGGTGTTGCGGCTCAGCATTGCGAGATGGGGGCAAAAAGCAAAGGCTCGCAGCCTGCATAGGTATTAAATTTGTTTTCATTCCCCAGAAAGATCATGGGTGTCTAATGCACAAGGATTTTATTTGGAGGTAAAAACTGTTTTAACTACACTCAGGTAAGTGTGCACGGATTTCCAGCTTGAAACATGCCACTTCCACCATTCTCAATGGACAGTAAAAACACTCAATTCGATGCCTCTCATCAACACCTAAGCCATTATAGGTAATCCTTAACTTATTACCATAATTAGGTCCTGGAATTTCAGTCATTAAGTGATATGGTGTTTAAGTGAGACCACACTTGATTTTACAATTATTTCTCTTGTCGTCCATCAAGCTGGCTTGGAAAGGTTGCAAAATCATGATCAAGATATCCCAAGTGCTGTAAATGCCAGCTGGTTACTAAAGATGAACAGAGTTGGAAGGGACCTTGTAGGTCATCTAGTCCAGCCCACTGCCCAAGCAGACCCTGCACCATTTTTGACAGATGGAGTCTAGTCTCTTTTTTTTTTTGAATTTTTTTTTTATTTTTAAAAACAAACATAAACATACAAAACATAGAACATAAAAACATAAAATATCTTTTTTGAAAGCAGTCTGATCCCGGGTTACATCTCTTCGTGCAGACACAAATTCAAGTTCATGCTCATTTTTGTATTCCATTCCATATCTTATTATCATTCTACATTTTCTATATAATTTCTTCTCTCTTTCAACTTTCTTAATTTTATTTTATTTATATCATCTCAATTTAAATCATCATGCTTATATTCTTTGTCTGTCCTGCTTCAGCTGTCTATTATCTTTTCTCATTAAGCAAAATTTCTCCTGTGATCACTAATTGGAGTATGATGCCTTTATATCTTTCCCCTAAAATTGTAACACTTAATGTAATACATAATTTCCGTTCGGATTCTGTTTGGTACATTCTAAAATTACACAATGTATTTTTAAAAAAGAAAAAATTGTAAATATATAACATAATTAAAACAATCCATACTAATTAAATTCTATCATTAATATTAATATTCATTTAAATCTTGAACATTTTACACATTACTTTTCAAATAAGTATCCTACTTCTATGGGAACACTTATAAACTTTCCATAATTACTTCCCTCCCACTTCACTTATATTTTATAAAACATTGAGTAGTTAAAATGTTCCCATTCCTTCCTAATTCAGTTATCTCATTTATTTCATTTCATTTATTTTGTTCACAAAAATTTCACTAAATTACACAGACTATTTTATTCCTCTTTTTAATCATATGTTGTTTCCAATTTCCTAACATTATTTCTATTACAAATATAACAATACAATCTTATGTACCTTTACAGAACCCCCTTTTCAGTTAAATATTCACCCATTATCTCTGAATAAATCCTGTTTCTTTACATCTAGCTCCAGATCTTTGTAACTTCTCTTCCCTTTCTTCTTCTCTCTCCCCTTTTTACCCCCATCTCTCCACCTCCATTTCCCTCTTCTGTATTCCCCCTTTCTGTTGTTTTCCAACATTATATCCCCTTTTCACATTATTTTCCCCTTTTTTGGCTTTTTTTTTAGGTCTTAAATTCTCCATTCTCTTTCCCCTTTCTTCCCCAAATAGAATTACTTGTTCATTAAAAATGGCTTCTTCTTTATCCCAATCTTCTTGTTGTGCATTCCTTTCTTGCTGTTTCTTGTAAACACCAATCGCCATTTCTAAGAATTGAAAAGTAGAGCCAAA